TTAATTGTTGGAGTCAACAGTTCTCACAATTTGGCATACGCAAGTTCAATGACCAAAATGAGTCCCGATCATGTGCATCTCAGAGCACTTGCTTCGTCTGGCCTCTACCCGTTGACCTTTCAGGCATGATTAGATCTGCGGCTGCGAGAAGTCATCCTGTGTAGCTCGCAGCGTCACTGAGGCGCGCAAGCCATCACACCACGTCAAGGTGCAGTCTCGTCGTGATGGATGACCAAAATGAGTCCCGATCATGTGCATCTCAGAGCACTTGTCCAAGAGCGTGCGTCTCGTACTTTGACTTCCATCCCCTACAGGTGTTTAGTTATGATCAACACATGTGTATCCATACATACACTTGAAACCGAAGGTCAGTATTTGGTGAGAAAAGGTATCCAGTCTTTTGTTGCAATTAGCTTGTGACCCGTTCCGGATAGTCAGTTTTACACAAAAGAACCGCTTGGTAGAAGGTAGTCATGACACTGTCTTCTGTATACACTGCTGCGGTTTGCACGGTCTTCCTGTACTGCTGCGGAACAAGGCCCCTTCCCATTGGGTATGATAGGCTGTGACCAACGACGATAGCGCATCAAAGGAGATAACCGCACGCATTTCCGAGGCTCGAGCAGTGTACACAGAACTTGAATACTTGTGGCGACGACATGACGTTTCACTGAAGTTGAAAAGTCGCGTATATTGCGCCACTGTACGATCAGTTCTGCTTTACGGTTGCGACCTTGAACTTGCGGGTGGAAGACATCCGTTGTCTAGTGGTTTTCGAAAATCGATGCTTAAATAATCTGGCCTAAGTGGAATGGAGTGAGTGACTTAGTAACTTAGACGTAGGTCGCCGGGTGTTTGGGAATGCATCGAACGAGAACCCGCCATCTCATCGAGTTCAGCTCAATAGGCTCCGTTGGTTAGGACACGTTTTGCGTTACGTTTTTCATACCCTCATGCCAGGTCTTAGCTTGATCACCCTAGGCTTTATTCCACCCACTACCTGCCTCGGCGAACATCGCTCGCGATGGCAACCTATTTAGTGACATGCGTAACACATGCCCCAACCAACGTAATCTTTAGGGGTCGACTATCAGATCGCCTCAGCTCAATCATCAGCCGGAGGACTCAGTGAACACTGATCGGCCGTCAAGCGATCCAAACGTCGATAAAAACAACGGCAAATTCTGGTGCACAATCGAATAAAAAACGATGGATCTCCCCGACATCGGTTGCTTTACAGGACGTTCGCAAGGCCATTCCTTCGCCTTCAAAATACGACAAAGCGCGCAAATACCTTAAACGCTAGCTCACCAAGAGCCTGAGGAATGATCGCGGCAGGTGGTGGGTAGGGAAGTATAGAGAGATAGAGAAGGTTACGGCTATTGGTAATAGTCGCAACCTTCTTTGTTTAATTATGAGTACAGAACCAGGGAAAGTAGGCGCAAGTGAGGTAATTAGGGAGTCTGACGGCACACTGATTCGGACTCAGGAACGCCATCTTGAACGTTGGGTCGGCACAGTTCAGCTGGTCCCCGTCGACACAAGACCTCCCCCTACCCGCTTCAACTGTGCAAATACTGCCAGTTGAAACCAGTACTCCATCTGAAATGCATGTTACCCGGGAAAAAAGTTATTTCAAACAACAAGTGGCTTCCGGCCCCGACAGACTGTCCCCATCGGTTTCTAAGGATGGAGGTCTAGCCTTGGTTTTGGAGTTAACAAAACTCCTGAGCTCAGTGTGGGAGAGGGAAGAGGTTCCAACGGAATGGTGATCGGTGATCATACCGATTTACAAGAAACGTGACAGATCCTCCTGCGAAAACCACAGAGAAACTAGTCTAATCAACATCATCTCTAAACTTGTCTCTGGTATCATTTTCCGTCGATTGTCTGCCGCACGTAAAGGGTGTACGCGTGAGAACCAGGCTGATTTCCGACCTAGGCGAAGTTGCATCGACCACATCTTCACTCTTCGTCAAATTCTAGAATACAAACACTCCTTTCGTAGACCCGCCATGTCTATCTTCCTCGATCTAATAGCGGCCTTCGATTCAGTCAATCGCTCTAAATTCTGGCGCTGCCTTTCCCTGAAGGGAGTGCCAGAGAAATTAATTTGAATATTACAATCGTTTTATAGCAATACTCGAAGCCGAGTCCTGGCTTACGGCACTTTTTCACCGGAGTTAACTACGGAAATTGGTGTTCGATAGGGTTGCCCTCCCTCTCCGTTTCCATTAAACCTTGTAATAGATTCAATTCTTGAAACATTCCTATCCTCGTTCGAGGATAGCGGTATCCATTTACTTCCAAGTGGTAGACTGTCTGATCTAGAGTATACAGACGACATTGTGCTA